GGCAGGGGTGCTGCAGGCAAACCTCTTGAAGCTCACAGACATGTTGAGGAGGCTATGTCTAGGTGCTGCGACATAATTGCTACCTTTACTGTTGAAGGGAACAACAGATAATAGACAAACAAAGCGGGTCTTGGGTTTAAGGGCTTCTCTTTGCATTTCAGGTTTGCAGTGCAAAAAATGTGGGTTCTGGATTCTGGCAGTTGCCGGCTAAATGCCAGAGGTGAGGCAGCAATTCGGGGATACTCCTGCCTTCTGCGAGGCAAGCAAACAGAGCTGTAATCGAAGTGGGCGCATCCAAAGGCAAGGTCCCTCCTAAGCATGGTAACATAGAATCCTAGCCACAGGGTCATCTCAAAGGCTAAACCCTCCATCCTTGTAGACTTTTTCTCCAAGCCTCCAGTACACAAATGTTTTTGGGGCTTGTGGTCCCAGAACCCAGGCAACACTCTTTAGGACCTTTTGGAGCAGGTACTAATATTTGGTCGCTTCAAGCCCGAGGGTTCAAGATGCTCTCTTGCGGCTCTGTGGCAGCCTCCACTGTCCTGCAGAACTGGGCAACGGAGAGTTGCTAGATGCCTTTGGCTTCAGGCGTCAGGCTTCATGGCTTAGGGTCTAGGGTTGCAAGGGTTCAGGGTTTAGGGTGCGGGACTTGGATTCAGCATCTAAAGTATGGTCACCTTGAGCACTCAAAGGGTTCGATACTTTACAGGGCTCAAACCGTGTTCAGTGGGCGCATCTGCCTTCATCTCGAGTGCCTCCTACGTGTTTCTGATAGAACCTTCACTCATTGTGCTTCTATTCTGAACCTGCTCCAATGAATGAAATGGCTGTATATGGTCAGGGCCCGGAAAGATATCAATAAGAGGTTTATTTCAGGTACCCTTTACCACAATTATGCAGGTAATGCGGGGGCAGAATATCGTAGCTGTTATTCGGGCTCCTACTGTACCCCTCGCTATGCCAAATCAACCAATGCTCATTCAGCATAGCTAGGAACTCCGGGCAGGAAACAGATGCATTGGGATTTTCAAAAATTAGGGGCGCTTTTTTGGGGGCGCGCATGTATCCTGACTACTTGGCGTTAGGTCTTGCAAGTGTACGGAAGATGCGGCAGTGCACCAGTCGGGCTTAAGAAGCTTAGGGAGCTCATATGAAGGACAACATGTTGTTTCTGCACGTGGGCTAAAGATTCCCTTCGAATATGTCATCCATTACTGCAGTTCTTTCTATGCTTTCTTGCTGCCACTCGAGGTGTCCTCATCCTTTGCGATGCCATCTGAGGCTAGGAACTATGGAGAGCATTGCTGTGACTGGGTTAATCCCTTTCTCCGTGTGTGTTTGTGCTGCCGGGTCACTGGGTGACTTCGACAAAGTTTTCCTCGCCCACGGGGCACACCAGCGGGTCGCCTGCGAGAATGGCATCGAGCGGGTCCAAAAGCTTCCACTCATGCACGTAACAAATTCTTACGCTTTCAGGATGATGCTCATGAGGCCGCGGAAAGCACGCAGGCACACAGGTCTGTGGATCCTTATTCGGGGATGGGTGTGTTGATGGTCACTTTCAGATATGCCTCAAGATGACAAGGACAGCAGCAATTCAAGTCAAGTGCAAGAGTATGGGCCAAAGAGTGGGCAGACGGGGAATTCTCAAATTCGTGCGCGTTTTTGGGAATCCCTATCTTCTGAGCTGTAGACCCTAAACCCCATGTAATATATATATATGTATAATTTATGTTCTTGCAACCCCCGCCCCCTCATGTACATTCCAATTTTGCCTCCCCTTGGAAAACTTGCCTAAGGAGGCATTGCTCACCTGTGCCAGCCCAACGGTGCACGATTCAAGAAATCTTGTCTTCCAAAACCGCCGTGTTCTTGAGAGGATAGGGTAGGGCCTCTTCTTAACAACTTATTGCTCTTAAAGAACAATGTGCTGGCAAGACACGTCCCAGTATTCAGTAATTGTTGCAAGCATTTACGAAGGTTTTGGGGTTCTCTCAGTTTTCATTACGTTTCAGGTGTGTGTTGTTACATATGTGGAATAGTTCATATCAAAAAGGACAGGGAACTGTCATACTGCTTGTCAGTAAAACTTGGAGATTTGATTTGCTCATGCTACTTGATAACATATCGCTCATTCATATGAACAAGAGGCTACAAAACTGCTATCTCAAGTTAAGCAGGATATCTCATGGGCTCAATGTAGACCACTTTGTGTTCTCACCAGAATATCAACAGTTGTTGTGTTTGGTTGTGTTACTGGTCAGGAATACTCAGGACTTCTCATGTCTGTCTGATACCAAAGTGGGAAGCGTAAGCCTTCTTGCCATAACAAGCCAGATGTCCTTATGGCTTATCAAGAAGTTGATTGTTTTACGTCTTTTTTTGAATACATGGAGCGCTCACGTTGTGTATTCCTCATTAAAATACAATACAAATCGTTTTTGTGTTGTTGTTATGCTGGTCAGGAATGTTCAGTTCTGATGTCTTTGTGATACTAAACGTCAGACATCATGTCTTTCTAATCCCAAACGTCCAACTGCAGGTCAGAAAGAACCATTGTTTTAGCTAGCACGATTCTTTCAACTAGGCCAGTGTCAACATTTTGACAAAATCGATTTCCTGATTGCTTCTGAACAAGTTAAGCGTTTTATCTTGTTATGAATACATGGAGCGGCTCATATCTCATCACAATGCTTGGGGCTTGCACATGCGTCATTACTAACACATGTTGGCTGAAATGCAAAAGGATATGTTCTATTCTTTTTCTGCCAAGCCACTGACACACCAGGCTGGTAGTTCCAGAATCCACTTTTGTTGCTAATTTTGCAAACGTTCTGAGATGATCGCTTCCAATAGCAAAATGGGCCTCAGAATACAGAACACATCCAGAGACCTAAATCCTAGAAGACTGGAAGACTCCCCTAAATGGGGAAGGCTTAGCTTTATAAAAGGGCCCCCAATTGTAATTAGGGTCGTGATATTAAAAAATCAAAAAAGGGACTAGGAGCTTCTTGCATTCTTGGTTTGTTTGTTCCTGAAATGTTTTGTTAAGTATGCAAAAACGGATCTTCAGTGGAATTGCAATAAGCACTTCTTTGCTCTCCTACAGTTTAATAAAACAAAAGGTGTGCATGAAGTGTGCGCACAAGCATTTGTATGAATGAGAAATTAAATCATCAAATTGCTGCAAGGATTTCCTTTGTTTCCTAGTGTATAAATTATTATTATTTCACAAAAAAGCTGTTATCTGATCTGTAATCTGTAATCTTAAAGGATTGCATACAGGAAAAACAAAACAGTATTGTCAGACTATTGGCGATTCAAGACGTTGAGTTTTTTCTTGTTTGTTCATTGGTTTCAAGGTCAGGAGCTACAAAACAATTACAAACCAATAAGACCCATGAACAACCTTGGAAAACCCCTGGAAAATTCTTGGAAAACACAGAAAACCAACAAGCAATGATTTTCAAACTATCTGAGGAAATTGAAAATTCATTGTTTTCTTGTGTTTTTACAATGGCTTTCATGGTCAGGAACTCCGAAGCATTGCAAAAACCAATGAACAGACATAACTTCGGACACCAAGAAAACAAAAAACACCTGGTTTTCAAACTGTCTACAGAATTTGAAAATTGAGGCTTACTCTCGGTTTTTTACAGCGGTTTCAATGGTCAGGAGCTCCAAACCATCGCAAAAACCAAGAAAACAAATCAATTTCAAGTTTCATTATTAATTTTGAAAACAATGTTTCTTTTTGGTGTCTTGATTTTCAGGGTCTTCATGGTCAGGCCTGGGTCTGCATATTATGAATATAAGACTTTGGAAATTAGAAGAAGGGCGTACAAAGGTAGGTTGATGCACCAACTAGTTGTAGGTACGTAGGAGGACCCCAAGTTGGAAAGCTACTTGGAGGGTCAGGAGACTTAGTAAGTAGGTTCATAACCCCTGTAACCCATATAGTAACCCTACTATCCCCATTATTAACCTACTAAGTCCCCCTGATCCTCCAAGTACCCCTGCAGCTCTGGCCTCCGTAGAGTTCCCAGCCGAACTCCAACGTCACTGGTCCGAGCCTGTGCAAAACAAAAACTAACCCCAATGAAAGGGTTAAGGGTTGAAGGTACATAACGGTATTGTATTGGGGCCCCCAAAATTAGATGGTATTAGATTGGGGTTGACTCTTGAGTCAAGAGTGAGTACTGGGGTTGTTCATGATTATTGGGTGGGCGAGTGGTGGTATATGCAGGCTTCTGGGAGCATGCGAGTTGTTGCTGAACATCAAGCAAGCAGTTGCGTGTTTGTTTGTGGTCAGAATATGTGTTTGATTGCACGTCGGCTGATGCTGCTTCACAACTCAAATTTTTATCAGGTGAGCCCATGTGGATAGAATAGAATGGCTAAAGCTGTTCATTGCCAGCACATCGCAGGGAAAAGAACTGCACGATGGATACGGGAGCTTCTTGTGGCCTAACCATAGACAACCTTAGTCGAATTTAGCAGCAGCAGTAACAAATGCCATAGTTGCCATCATCGCGACCGAGATAGCGCTTGCAAAGAAAAGGGTTAATGTGGTACCTCAACTCTGCAATGTCTGGCATCTCATCGCTATGCCTCTCAACAGGAAGCTCGCTGCAACATGTCGGCGAAACGGCATCAGTGGAAGTCATAGGCATGTACTCAGCAGTTTGCCCAGTTCGCAGGCAGCACCAAGCACCCCTATTGGCGGCCTCATCACAAATACCAAAAAACCTGACAAGTCGTCGTTTGCAATCGCGCATCACAGCAATAATGACAGCAATGTGCCAGGTGGTGAACGCCATTTCCGCAATGCTGGCTACAACAGCTCGCTCCCCAAAAGTCATGTCCACAAACCAGGTTTTCATTGCCAGGACTACAAAGAGGCCTATGTATGTTTCAACAACCAGGAAGGCCATCATGTGCAGCAAGCAGTGCTGTGGTACTTGGAGATGGATGGTGACATTCTGCTTCTCCCATGATTCTCAGGCATCGAGCATGGCTTTGCGATACCGTGGGCTGTGTTCTTGGCGAGACCTTGTGCCAGGACTGAGATCAGCGGTTCGCAAGAAGGCCTCTTCATAGTAATCCAGGCAAGCACGATTCACAAACGTTTTCGCTGCAGTTTCAATAAGACCCACAAGGATATTGTGAACATTCGCTAGCATTGCACCCAGCTTGATGTCCTCGTGGTTCTTGTGTGTCTCAAACACCAACGCCAGCAACGCTGCTGAGATGGCCGTGTTGGCTGCGTAGAATATGGTCATGTACCGCATGCTGGCTGAGGTCCCGAAAACAATGTCAGTATTCACGATTTCATTCAGCGGCTGCATGATCACTCTGCGCGGCGCACTTGATGGATTCTGCACCTAGATCATCCAAGCCGAGCCTGACTTCAGTAGCCGAATGCTGCGCGCATAGAAAAAGGTCTCTGCATGATGCACGCCCACAGCTCCTATAGTTGGATCAGTACATGTATCGTTCCAACGCAACGCTTCCCAAGAAATTCCCGCGATAGATAGTAAGCTAATGAATGAAAAGGTGGCATTTGATTTTTTTGAGTCGAAGTAGAGGTTGTTTCACGCCTGTAAAGTCTTGTTTGGCTGCCAGAATATGCCAAAATTGTACATCTTGTTAACAGAAGTCGCGCAAAGCAAATTCAGTTGAAAGGACAGGCGCCGTTTACCAGGAACAACTACTATCTGGTCCATCTTCTGTTTTTGGATCTCTTTCGGCAGCCAAGTAAGCTGATAAACACGCTTAGTCAACGCGCCGGTCCTGCCATCCCAGACTTTCGTCTGATTTGCAACGAGGCTCATGTTCCTGTTTTCACCCCCCCACTATACACAGGCCTATACACCATATGTTCCACACATGGCATTTGGGACGGTCCCTACCCTGCGCAGGGTGGAGTGGTTTATCTGGGATCCAGAGACGCATGGCCAAGGCTGCCCTCATCTTTGTCTGTAGCCCCTCACCTCCAAAGCTTCAATCCCAAACTCCAAACTTTAGCCCATGTTCCCTACAATTGCCTGACGCCAGTCATAAACTGTAAACCCTCGCAGCATCCCTTGTACTGGGACATCCCGACGAGGCTGCCAGCGAGGAGGAGCCACGCCAGGCTAGGCGGAGGAAGACCATGTCCCTAGCCTCGCCGGGGAGGGTGAAGTTTAGGATATAGGACTTCGGCCTTGAAAGTTTAAGGAACAGGCATCAGAGAGTTTAGGGTTCAGCGCTTATCTAGCCTGAGCTGAAGGGTCTGCAGCTTTCACGTTTGAGCGTTCTGGGTTTAGGATCAGGTTTTGACACTTCAGGGTCGAGGATCTTGTTTTTGGGGACCAAGGTTGAGGGATTGCGAGGATGCGGTTGATATGATCTGCAGCAACTTGATGATTTCTGCTGTTGCACCATGGAGTAAATAAACGCGAAGCAACAAAAGAATATGGAGGGGGTAAGGTAGGGAGTATATGACAATTTGGATCCTTATCTATGCCCCTGGCCTTTGCGGACTTTAGGGTTTAGGGTCTGGGATCAGGATGTAGAGTTCAGAGGGGTAAGGCGGAAAAGCATGGCTGGCTGTTTGCAGTTGCAGTTTAGGCTAAGTAGCGAACCTGGGGGCTTTGAGGTTTGGTTTGGGGGAATGTACATTTTGGAGAATTCGACTCGATTGGATCAAGAGAGGGTCAAGGAAAATACTCTGGTCGGGAGTCTGATTTACCCTCAGACCTGCCAGAATCAAGTGGATATCCCAATACTTTGAATATTTCAGCAATCGGCTTCTGATTTACGATTCTCTCAGGCGACGTGGCATGCACAATGGCGGCCTTCCTGGTCATGCGATCAACTCCAACACCGCTTGGTGGCAAGCAATTTCATACTTTTTGTCAAACAGCCGAGACCATTCTTCTACTCGTTGCTTTTCTGATGGTTGGCATTTCCTTGCTGGTAGTGCTACTGTTCATGAGACCAGAAGTTCTGCAACAATGTCCGGGAACTCAGCTTGCAACTCCGGGGCTAGGTCCTGGAATACCCCCGAAACCTGATGCACGTGCTGTGCTGCAGTGCAACCCTTGGAGACAAATACATGTCCAGGAAGACTTCACTGATAGTTTCTCATTGACACGATGGCAACTGTGCCACTGTGGCGGTGGGCGGTGGTAGAGTTTTTGACCCACCAAAACATCTACATAGGCAGCTCTGTGACAACACTATTCTCAAAACAACATCCTATCTTGGTCCCCCAAACCACACCTTAGCTTCGACAACTACGTATGGGAGTACTGTGTATGGAAATGCCTGCTGCTGCTCCGCTCTGGCGCGTGAGAGGAGGGCTCGTAGTTCCAGCATCAGCACCAACACGGCACCTGCTTAAATTGTGGAGGCTCAACACACTGACCAGTAAGACCTAGTTTCATGGTTGTAGATGGAGATGACAGGGGACCTCAGAGAAGCAATGCAGACGACGTTCCGGCTAGCTTGTTTAGAAGGCCTAGTGCCGCTCTGTCTCTCACATGCGTTGACACACCACTATCCTCTGCCTTCTCTTGCTAGAACTGCTTTTGATGTACGGACTGACAACACGCAAGCTAGCGCTACAAATGCCCTGCAACTTTACAACGTTTCTGTGGGCAGAATTTTGACAGCCTTTCCCACAAAAGCTGCCTCTTTGGACTCTATAGACCTTGAGTTCAGATGTTTGCACCAGGGATGCTATGTGCGTGCAGCAGGTTGCGACATCCCCCCATTTCTGAACGCTTGTGCGAAAAGTCACTTGCGGGGACTGTACCTCCCTGCGAATCTGTGCCTCTAATACCTGCGATTCTTGTTATGCAGGCTGCCCACGGCCCTCAGCCCCTTCTGGCACAAGGTCATTTCGGCGCCTGTAGGTACAGCTGACAGGATACTCAAGCAAAAAATCGTGACGCAGCCGTTGACCAGAACCCAACATAACCAAAACTTGCTTGAAGCTTCATTAGGTACTTATGTGCGCAGTTAAGATGGGGAAAACCATAGTTGACAACCCTACAGGTGATGGTCAGGGCAGCTGGCAAACTGCGAGGTTGAAATGATCTTCAAGAATTGGTAACCCCTTGGCTTTTTTTTGGGGCTCTGTGGATCAGGAAATCAGCAGTTAGTAGCCATGAGAATGCAAAGGACACTGGTTCAGTCTAGAGCTGTGAAATTATAGTGGGCCAGTTTCACAACATCTGTACCAAGTAGCTCCTGTGCAATCGTGAGTATCTAGCATGGATAGTCGTCATGTCTCATGAGCTTGTGTGCTTCCGAGCCGGCTTAATTGCAAATAGGCAACTAGGTACGAGAGGGATAGCTCTTGAAAGATGCAGAAGAGGAGCCCCTAAAGAGGGGCTGTCTGTTAGAAGCGTTCCCCTGGCAAGCAGCCTACTCCGACACTCTCTGGAGTGGACGTCGTGTTCTTGGCGACCTGATGCGAGTTGGAGCCCTGGATGTGGGGTATGGCCTGGGAAATGCCAGTTCTCGCGAGCACATGATGCAACAGCCAGCGTCTCGAACAAGAGCCAGGCCGCTGTGATGTTGCCAGGTAAAACTAGTGTGTCATTGAAGTGCACTACGCTTTTACGTGAGGCGTGCGGGCCACGCGAGATTGTGTAAGGTTCTCTCCTACCTACACTATAAGGTTCTATTTCACCAACCCCCGTCCCTGGGGTTGTGACTGTTTCGAAGGCGAACCCAACAAGCCTTCACTGGGAACTGGGAATGTATGCAGATTATGCAGGCACAAGAAAACACCCGATCAGCTACATGTCCTGCATTTGGCTTCCTAATACTCGTGCCGAGCAGTACCAGATCACAGGAACCTGGGGCTGCATGCGGAAGCTCGAAGCTTCGGGAGTAGAGATTTCAATCCCTAACAGGGCCAACTTGAATGACAGCGCACATCAGAATTATACAGCTCCAAAACAATAGCGCTGACCCCCACTTGAGCAGCACCATTTACGACCTCACCTTCGTCACCCTTCTTCGAAGATCTTGTTCATAGCACCGCATTCATGGATACTAACTTGGTCTAACTGGCAAGACAACCAATATCACTTTTCTGTCGGCGAGGCAACTGTAGCGGCTTAAATAGTTGCCAACATCCTTTTGAGGACTGTATGGGGTACCCGACACTGTTTTGATATACCGAAGGTAGGACCCCATATTGGTAGCTGCCCCCGTGTCACCTCCATATCAGCCCCATTCCCAATTAACTTCCCATGTGTGTGTTTCCGTTTGATTCTCCATTCTTGAGGTAATGTATCCCTGTACTTTCGGCTGCCACAGTGGGTTGTTTACCCGACAGATGCGCTGCCTCCTCTGCCACACGACTCTCCACATGCCATGACAAAAGAGCCAGCGCTTCGGGGAAGTCTGACCTCAGGCAATTTCTTCGGGTCGATGGCTGAGAGCCTCTTTCTAGGTTTAAAATCTACTTCCCAGATCTGCTATTATGGCTCCTTGCTTTGGGTGCCTAAGAGCCCTGGACCAGATTGCCGAGCTTGAGCCCGTACCTCAGAAGCAGCCCATACTAGCAGGTCAAATAAGGATGAAGATGCAGCATCTAAAGCTTAAGGCACTTTGTGCTCGAAATGAACGGGAATATCATGCGCCCCATTTTCGGAGCCTTGAAATCCTGCAAACCGCGGCAGAATTTAGGGAAAATATCCTTTGACCGCAAGGGATCCTTAAGCTCAGGATCCAAAGGTTGTGGATGGGCAGTCCGCGGATCTTTTTCATCATCGGCACTGCTTCGGGCAATTTAATTAATTGAGACTAGCAATCTGTTCCTGGAGCTGAGCTAACGGCGTTGGCTAGTGGCTGGAGCCATCCGTGCCACTGACAGCCAGCTTTAGTTGTGTACCGATGCCAAATGCAGGCAACCGCGCTTTATGCCGAAGTCTCATGGTGATCTGTGGTCCATCCTCAAGAATGCTCGAAGAAGACGATCACTTTCCTTGCACATGCAAGATCAAGTCTCATCTTTCGGAGCTCACCTTGCGATCCCAGCAGGATGAGTCTCACTGGTGCATGTGGCAGGGAAAGTTTCTAAGCTGATGCTTTAGCTGGGAAGAGGGCAGCGTCCAGCGGCTGAGTGCCCACTGAACTGGTGTTGGGAAGGTTCAGTCGCGGTTGCTTGATGTTGTTAAGCGGTCGGTTTCCAGATCTGACTTTGCGCCGCCTCGCGTCTTGACTTGCAAGCCCAGAAGCTCTTAACCTTTCCCCATGGTTCGGAGCATGACTGGGTTGAAAATAAGACAGGCCTAAAGTGCAACCTTTGCGCGTTCAGGCTTTTACATGGCCACTTGTGGAGTCA